CTGGCGCAAGTAGGTATTTTTATATTATAAGCCCACGATGACTTCCATTCATCTTTATATTTTCTACGCTCTACACCTGGCATGAAATTTTATGCATTCTACTACCGTTTACTAAGCTATTCTATTCCATGCAAGCATTTTTGTCTTATTATAGGAATCTCAATAAGCTGTATCCCCTTCTTTAGCTACTGGGTTTTAGTTTTACATGCCATCTGGCGGCTAATGTCAGTTATTTCTCATTTCAAGCTACAATGATTCTATTTATTGCTTTTATTTGCTCGAATTAGCCATTATCCGTACTCTGTCTTTAATTGAACAAAAACAGCTTGATTGACCTTGTTTACCTGTATCCATCGTTAGCTTGATTATTGTTACTACTAGTAAACAGACTATTATTAGCTTTAATGAATAGCCTATACTTGCTCAACTTGACCTGTATAGTGTCTAGATGTTTACCTTATTATATTTGGTAGTTTGATTAGCTTGCTTAATATAAATGCGGGTTTTGTATTTCTCGTACATTTTTACGCCTTATTGGGCTTTATTCAATACAAACCCATATTTTTACCACAATTTAAGTTATTATATTCTTCACAAGCTCTTTCCTTAATTATTTATGAAATTATCATAAGCTAGTTTGCCTTTGATAGTTGACTAAGGCTGTATTTGAGACACTGTTTTGCATCTGATTTCACCTTTTATCTTCACTTTAATCTACAGTGATTCTACGTGCCACTTTTATTTGCTTATGCTCGCATAATTTTGATTAATTTTCCAGTTTTTTTTAAACTGAGTCATCTTTTTCAGTGAAGTGAGCTTGATTTTTTGAATTATACTCTATCTTATTTTGCCTCTATTTATCCTACCCTAGGCGCTCATCAATCGCGGAGTTAACCTGGATCCACTTGAACCCTGGAGCAAGGTCGGATTGGTTGTTTATTCGACTCAAGTACCTCTTGGTGCTACTCCTGAGTATCTTGCAGGTCATTATATACTTCAAGGTGCAAGCTCCATGCTCCCTGTAATGGCCTTGGCCCCTCAGCCTGGTGAACGGGTTTTAGATCTCTGTGCTGCCCCCGGTGGTAAGACTACATATATCGGTAAGTAGTCATATATCCTAATTTAACCAATATTTGCAAAGCCTAGTTTCACTGGAGAGTGATTTCTTCTACCGATCATCCTTTTTTTATACAATATCGGTAATATTTATACAATTAATTGCTCAGGGTGGATAACAAAAGTGCAATACGTA